AAATCCCAGTCAACTGCATATGCAGTTAATTTTAATCAAAGTATGACTTCATTGTCTCACAAATTGGACACTAGAGGACCTCATGTCTGTAGGGAGAGAAATGACACAGCAGATCTCGATGGTCAACAGCACAGTCTGGGAGCATAAAAAGGCCAGCACAGTGGATGAACACCTACTTTTGGAAGGAAACCAAGGATTCCGTTCCTTATGTACATCCAGAGCATGGCGGACAGGCTGACCACACACTGTCATTCTAAATAATTGCATTTTATTCAACAAGTTAACGTTTCACTTCTGGATATTTTGCTTTTTCAGTATTTTGTCTATTGTAGATCAGCCCTATCGATTGCTGATTTCAATGCTACAAACTCCTACAATGTGTTCCTGGGATATATTTATTCACAATGATATATGCTAAAAAGAAACGTTTCTTAAAAAAGAAGACCAGTCTTTCTGCATATCATTTGCGATCACCTAAAATGGAAAACTCATCTCGTGAAATATTTTTTTTTCTCAGTACTTTAAACGACACAAAATCAAACAAACTGATTTATTTTTCCTGTTCATTTATCATCTACTTGCTTACAATTTTTGTTAACTTGACTCTGGTTGTGACTGTTATGCTGGACAGAGTTCTGCATGAGCCCATGTACATCTTCCTGTGTAATCTGTGTATCAATGGGATTTATGGTGCTACAAGTTTTTACCCAAAGTTTCTGTTGGACCTCTTATCAGAATCTCACATTATCTCATACAATGCATGCTTAGCTCAAATTTGTTTGGTTTACACATATGTGTTTTGTCAGCTTTCCAATCTAACAGTAATGGCTTATGACAGGTATGTTGCAATATGTAAACCCCTGCAGTATCACTCCATTATGACCCAGGGGAAGGTGGGGAAATTGCTGCTGGTACCCTGGCTGATATCTTTTTGTGAGACATTAGTTGGGTATATCTTGATGGCTAAGTTACCTTTGTGTGGCTTCAAAATTGATAAACTTTATTGTACCAGCTGGGATGTGGTGAAGCTCTCCTGTGTAGACACCAGTGTGAATAATCTATATGGATATACAATAGTCATCTCTCATTTCATCCAAGCACTACTGATTGTAATCTCCTACTCCCACATCATCAGGACATGTGTGCGATCAAAAGCAGAACAGAGCAAGTTCATGGAGACCTGTCTGCCCCATGTGATCACTCTGACTACCTTCTGTCTATCTGCTGCATTTGATGTCTTATATGCTCGTTATGGATCCAGCAGCAGCCTGCAGGGTCTCCGTAACTTCTTCTCCATAGAGTATCTGATCATCCCTCCTCTGCTGGACCCCCTCATTTACGGCCTGAAGCTGAAGCAGATTCGTCGGAGTGTCTGGAGGCTGCTCAGCAGGAAAGTCAGTGCCCTGACATAGATTCCAGAATGTTCTTCCTCTCAATAAAGAAAAACAGTGACAAAGTTTGAACATTTTCCTTGATTGAGCCTTTATGTAATAGGCAGTTATGTACCAAATATAAGGTTCTAATAATGATTAAATCAAATGCATTTGGCAGAAATTCAATTTTGCTGGCGATGATCAATCAAGATGGCGCCGCGGAGAGCTGCCTCGGTCTGTTGGTGCACACTGTTTATCTTTATCACTCTCTTAAATATATATTTCTCTCAGTTCCACTGCTATATCATACTCCGCATTCTTCTACAGTATGTTTTTATATTAGTACCTATATATACCCCTATGTGTATATTTATTGCACCACCAAGGCAAATTCCTTGTATATGTGAACATACTTGGCAGTAAACTCTATTATTATTCTCATTCTGATGATCAGCCTTCTCACAGCTGTGGGCTTAAAGGTGAAACTGCGCCCCCTTGAGTTCCTCACAGAGATAGTACACACTGTAGTCTGTAGCATTGACACTGCTGGTGAATGGTGGGGACTAAGACTTCCTCTGGGATGCTAAAACACAGACTCTGTCTGCTGTCTCCATGAAGACGATTATTATTGGCCAGCACCAGAATCACATGACTCTCATTCCACCTACTTGAATACGGAGGTGTATCAGTCCATCCCTTCCTGACCCATCACTTTATGCTTGTGTCATGCTGCCAGGCTCGTTGTGCAGCCATGTCTGCACCAGTAGCTCCAGTACCATTAGCATATTTAGCATTAAACTGCCCATCTTTGTCCAGTAACATAAATCCCCTGCTTCATACTCAGAAAACTGTATCCCCTGTGAATTTTGACTTTCCTGTCTTGCTGTTTTTTCAGTTCCTCCTCTTTGCTAAGTTGTATTCTTTTCCCATTAAAACAAGGAGAGACTAAACAAACAAACAAACGAGGCTAATGAGGCCTCATTTCATATTTCTATTCATTTCATAGATCCACCCACCCCCACCAACCATCTGTTTCATCTACCCACATGGGAACACAAAGTATTAAAAAAAAAAGATGATGACCTCTCTTTATTGTGTACAAAGACGGCACTGTTTGTCAGAGGGCTTAATCTTTCTGGGTTTCCTTTTCTCAGACATGCAGCCAGGTGTTCCCCTTTCAGTCTGTCTCTCAGGCCTGTTTTGACCTGATAAACAGATGGAAAAACAGACACTGAGCTTTAATTTAACTATTCAGAACAGGTACTGTATTACATATTTAGTGCTGAAAGAAAGAAAAAAAAATCACTTACCCTGTTACAAATTAGTTGTCTAACCTTAGTTACTCTGTGTCTTTCTAACTGCCATAGTATGAAGAGAAACATTACATTTGTGCCTCTGAAAATGGAGGGACACTGAAAGATGGCTGTAATTTCTGAAAGCTTAATACAATACCTTTGTTAAACACTTTAAATGAATGCTGAAAGTCTATATTGTTCTTGATCGCTTAATTTCAAATCTATTGTGATGGTACACAGAGATAAAATTACAAAAAATGCATCAATGCCCAAATACTTATGGACCTCACTGTATGTAAAGTTTACATATTGTGACGCTCGGCAAATCCCAGCATCTTAGCAGGATAAACGAGACGGGCTCTGCATTGCAGGGCTGCGCACAAGCAACAATCACAACTCCGACACACATAGAAAGGAAATGCAGGTAGGACTGATGACAGATGGTGAGGCACACACATAGTGGGTAGTTACATAATGTCTAGAGCAGGGGTCTCCAAATCCGGTCCTGGAGAGCTACTATCCAGTCGGTTTTCTATCCTACCTGGTTTCTGATGAGCCACACCTGTTCTCAGGTAAATACCAGGGCCAGGTGTGGCTCATCAGAAGCCTGGTAGGATAGAAAACCGACTGGACAGTAGCTCTCCAGGACCGGAGTTGGAGACCCCTGGTCTAGAAACATGTGAAGATTATACAGGATTCACACATGACACAGAAAAGAGCACGAATGATCAAATCAGGAACACAACAAGTAATTACAATAACACACAGACACAGGGGCTGTTTACATGGCTTGCAAGCACGCCAGGAAATGCAAATGGGCTCTGCTCTGCAGCCCCATCTTACTGCCGCTACTTAAGTATGCCTACTGGTGTCTCTAATGCTGTGATGTCGTACAGTATGTGTATGTTTTATTGTTGAATTTGCGCTGCTATGATGAAATGCCTTGCAGGTATACGCTGCAGACTAATTTCCCCATTGGACTCATGAAGCATATCTATGTATTAGGGGCTGCACAAACTAGTCAACTTGACTGCTCTGCAATGAGACTTTAAGCTTAACGTCGATACGTTGCTGATCACTTGATTATGACACCAACAACGTGGACACCTCAGAGAATTTTTTTTTTTAATAAAGGATTATGACATATCATTCATTGGACCCGTTCAGAGGTACCAACACCAAGGTCAGCATGGTTTGGGCGGTGGGGGCTCTGTAATTCATGTCGACAAACTAGAAGGGCACATTTTGACTGGCATCCATGTTGAAATATTAAAAATATATTCCGTTTGATGGCATTATGATTGGAAAATGACTTAATGACAGAAACATTCATATTTTTATAATTTTATCATTTTCACACTTTTTTTATTGTTTTGACATAACAGTGTTTTGCGATTTTCTCAGGTTTTATGACCAACTTCCGGGACCGCCAGTGGTTTCTGAGTAATAAGTGCAGCTTATGTGGAGACTGAATCTCAGCAGCACCTGATGCATATACAGTAGTTGGCAGGATAAATCATACACTTGACTCGTTTTCATTATGAATTTATTTAATGTTCAATACACACAAAGCAAAGCCTCGTGGCCTAACCTTGTCATTCCCTGTGGCTCGCTTGCCAATATCACGGTATTGCAGTATTGCAATATATCCCTGACCACCAGCATCAGAAAAGCCAGGTTCATGACCTCTGCATGTTCCTGTCTGAAAACACTGTACGCCCCTTCACCCATCCACTACATCAGCTATATAGCCATGTGTTTACAAACTCTCACTCAAAATAAATTAAATCCCAATGAATCCCTTTAAATTCCTAGTCAACTTTAAGGCAAGTTTAACCTTACGAAAGAATGACTTCATCATCTCACAAATTGGACACTAGAGGACCTCATGTCTGTAGGGAGAGAAATGACACAGCAGATCTCGATGGTCAACAGCACAGTC